TTAAAGATCACACTATTTTTATATTTCTATCTTTGAATAGATATGCAGTGTATATTACAAATAAAATAAGTAAGATTGAAGATTCTTACAGTACTTCTATTTTTATCTCAGTCTTGTCTTATTTCATTTCATCAAAGAAAAGTTATATGATTCTTTTAGATATAAAACAGTTAACTCATTTTATTAGAGAAAGTGACAGTTTTAACATCTTCAAAATCTGAATTAACTTTGACTTTAAAACATGATTAAATACTTCTTTTATATCAATAAAAACTGCAGTTGAGACCAGATCTTCATACTTTGCTATTTAAATATTATAAATAACTGAGAGAATAGTATCAATTGCAGAATATTATTTTCTATCTCTTATTTATTCACTGAATAAAAGAGAGTTATTAATAGAGCTTATAAAAGATAGTTGAATAGCTATTATCTTTTTCAAAACCTTTTCTAGACAGTTTAATAGAGATATTACTTTATATGACTTAGAAATTGAAGTTTTTCTATTAAATTTTATAAGAATCACTTCAGTAGCTTCTCTCCAGTATTCAGAATAATATTCATTTTTTAAGAGATTGAAAAAGAGCTTAAAATATTCATTCTTTAAGTAGAAATATGTATTTTGAATAATCAAGTGATTAATTGAATCAGGCTCTGCAGCAGTTTTAACAGAACTTGAGAAGATAGCTAACTCTAATTCATCTTATATAAGATCAGATCATTCTCAGTCATTTTTATCAATATAGTTAAGAAGTGATATATTCTCTTTCTCTGAATCTGAATCTGATGAGTTTTGAAAGAGAATTCTTATAAAAGCTTAACATTTTTTCTTAAAAGAGTTTACTGTATATGATTTATTCTGAAACTCATATTCTAAGACTGAAAGTTTTACTACACTTCTTGTTTTAGTATAGTTAAAAGCTTTAAAAACTTTCTTTTCTTATACTTCTTTAAGAAATTTATTTCAGCAGTTTGTTTTAGCTCTTTTAATATCTGAAAAATATTCATTTCTGACAGTTTTAAACTCTTTATTAGATATTACATTATTCTTTCAATCTCTTCTAACAGTAGCTAATTCTTTTCTTTTAAATGAGATATTCTTATTTTATCAAGATTTTGAATACTCAGAAGATTTTCTCTTTGAAATATTATCTCTAACACTTATTAGAATAATAGATATAATAAGCTTCACTCTATTCTCAAGCATTTCATTTGAGATATCTTGATCAGAATTTCAATATAGCTTACTCTATCTTTCAGATTTTAACAGTTTTATACTTTCTTCAACTGCTTTTCAATCAGCTTTTTCAAAGTTAAACTGATTAGAGAGAAGAGAATTTTCACTCATTTATTTTTCACTCAGTTCAATATTAAATTGAATAATCTCATGATCTGATTCTGATATATCATTTAAATCAATAAATCAGTTTATAAGTCTTTTTTTTATTAGATTTTGTGATATAAAGATTAGATTTATAATAGATTTCTGTTTCATATCTTTTCTAAAGAATGTTTATTGATCAGACTTATTAACTAAATCTATTAAATATTCAAAGATTCATTCAATCAGATTATCAGCTCTTACTACTCTCTTATATTCTGAATTTCATCAGAGATAATATGTATTGAAATCTTCTACAATTATAGAGTTTCTTAATGAAGTTATATTCAGAAATTCTCTATTAATTATTCAGATATTATTATTTTTCTTCAATAATTTTTCATCATAGATATTTATAAGCTGTATAGTATTAAACTCATTCTCTTTATCTATAATATCACTCATCAGAATATCAGAGTTAGATATAATATTAAATCTTAGATTAAATTGATATCTTGATCTCTTTCTTTCATAGATTACTACTCTTAACTTTATCTCAGACTTTTGAGATAGAAAGTAGTAGTAGCTTAAATGAGAAATAATGTATTTTTACTCAGTATTAAAATTCAGTTTCTGAAGCAGTATAAAATTAACTTTTTATTCAAATTCAATTTGAAGATAAGAATAAATACAATTTGAGTTTCTATTCACATTATTTTGAATAAATGTGATTTTTGAAGAGTTTTTAAACTTTTTTTATTGTTTTTATTGTATATTCATACTAAAAGAGAGTAGAGATCAAGTAGAATCTAATTATTATCATCAGATAGTAGATTATAACTATTTTGAAAAGTAGAAATCTTAACTGCTTACATTATATCTAGTTTATTATCAGAGTTATTTCTCAATTCTCTAATCTTAACAGAAGTTTGAGAATTCAAATTCTATTTACATTTAGCTGGAGAATTGAAGTTTGAAGATTTAGATAGTTAAGAGTTTCTTCTTTTTAAGCTTATAGTTATAGATTTACTGACTTGACTCTTCTCTTCAGTTCTAGATTGACTTTGAGCTTCATCTTTTCTTCAGTTCTTTTGAGTTCTTGAAGTAAACATACATTCTTTTGAGCTAGATATATATTTTTCTTTACAATTAGAGCACTTAAGCAGAGTATATTGATATATTTTATCTCTTTTTAAGCATGTTTCATATTTATGCTCACTAGTTTTATGATCTCTGATACAGAATGCATATTTTAAGTCTCTAAAATATGAGATTGTAAAGTATTTATATCTTTGACAGTTTGAACACTGTGTTTGAGCTTTGAGATTCATTCTTGAGTCTTTGTATTCATGAACTCTTATTTTCAAATCTGCTACTCTTACTTCAGAGATCTTTGACTGTTTAAGTGTTTTTATATATACTAGAATAGAGACATTTCTTCTGCTTTATCTGAACTTAATTGAACTTAGCTATATAGACTCTTTTCTCAGTTAAATAGAGTTATATTCTTCTAATTTATTTTTGAGAAGTAGTATTTCTTCTTCACAGTCAAAAATTTCAACTGAAATATTATAAAGAATGAATTTATCTTATTTTTCATCTCTCTTAGATAGAATTATTATATTTAGCAAAGATTCTACTGCTGATTTTCAGAGATTCTCATTCTGAATAAGAAATTCTACACTGAATTCAGACATTGTAGTCAGAATAATGAAGTTTTCAAAGAATAATAGCTTAATTAAAGCTATAACTGATTTTTGAACTTCAATATTAGATATTAACTGAGAAAAGAACTGCTGATTAATTTCATTTCTGATTCTGAAAATAAGATTTGAGTTTAACTTGTTTCTTTGTAAGATATTCTGATTTAAGACTTTGAGAATAAGTCTTCTATTTCTGAAGATTTGAAAGTTTTTCTCTTTTTATATTTTTTTCTTCACTTTTTTATGAGTAGAAGTATGAGCAGTATTCTTCTCAGTTTTCTCAGAATTTTGAGTAGATTTTAAGATAGCAGATTTAGAGATAGTAGATTCAGCTGCTTGAGCATATGTTTTCTTCTGATTTAAAGAAGAAGAAGAAGAAGAAGTAGAAAAAAAAAAAGAGTAAACTGAAGAGTCAGTGATTGTATTAGAAATTTTCAAAGTTTTTAGAACTGTATTTGAAATTCTAAGTTTGAACTTAATCACTTTCTGTAGTTATCTAATCTGAGTATGAAGAATTAACAGAACTTCTTCATTCATCTCACTCAGACACTGCTTTTCAAGAATTTTACTTACTTTTTCAAGTTTCTATATTTCAAGAACTTATTATTTCTCTATTTCTTCTTTCTTTCTTCTCTTCAGAATTTCAATCTCAGAAATAGTATTTGAGAAAGCATCTTTTTTCACATCAACTGAGTGTACTTTTGAACTTATTATTCATACTCAATGAAAAGTTGATCAGACTGCTTCAATTGAGATATTTATTAAACTCTTTTAAATTGAAAAGTTAATCAGACTGTTTTAATTAAGAGATTTCTAAGTCTGTTTTTAATTGAAAAGTTGATCAGACTGTTTTAAAAGAAGAATAAAAGACTTTTATATATAAAATATCTGATTTTTTTCACACTAGTTCAGTAACTAGATTAGATTTTTAAAGAGAATCTAATAAACTAAAATTGATTTTTAAGATAAATTAATAAAATCTTTACAATCTCTTTCTTGAGATATAGTGAGAAAAAGTATGATATCAATTGATAATAAATCAGATAATATAACAGTTTTTAAGAGAAAAACTAATGAAAAATAAATCAATTTTTTGCAGAGAAATTGATTAAAACTATTCAATTTTATTCTAAATTATTCAATTCTTCTCACACAATAAGTATACAACTCAAATCAGTTAATAAAGAGTATAAAAAAGAATTAAGTATTAATAAAAGCTCTTCAGTCACTGAAAAAGTAATTCTTACTTAAAAGAATATAAAATTATGATAGAAAATAACTCTGTTTTTAATTCTTTATAAGAATATTGTATAAAATTCAGAGAAAAATATCTTACTTTTTCAAGAGAAGTAAAAAACTATTTCTAAGATCTTTTTTTTATATTAACTGCTATAGAAGAATGAGATAGAAACTGCTAAGATATATACTACTGTATACTCTCTATCAAGACTGTCTCTCTTCAGAATCTTGATATTATAGAGAATATAAGTCTGTTTCTATATAATAATATAAATATTATTAGCAGAATGTAGAGAAACTGGTTATTTATATCTTAAAATAGAAGACTTTATCAATAATTATATTAATATAGAGTTAATTCTTAAATTCAATAGAAATCTAGTGTTGCTGTTCTCAATCTCTTACAGAATCTATTGAATATTGAGATATTAAAACTAGATTTAATATATCTCACTGTGCAGAGATCAAAGACTCAGTCAGATCTTGAGATATACTGATTTTATAATTGTTATATCTGCTGATTATATATTGAGTATAGTTAATAAGATATCTCTTTGTATTTTTCTGCTGAGAATGAGTCAGATTGAAAGAGGTGATACAAGAGTGAGACTTAGTGTTGATATCTTGGTACATCAAAGACAGAGAGGGTTTTTCATAGAGAATGCACTTCAGATATGTCTGTTGATTATGTGCTTAATACTATTACTGAAATATCTTTTTGTATTTTTCTGTCAGAGATGGGCCAGATTGAGAAGGGCGGTATGTAAGTGAGACTTGATGTTAATGTTTTGAAACATCAAAGATAGACAGGGTTTTTATGAAAGTTGCTTCTCAGATATCTTCACAATTACAGTTCAGAGATCTTTCAAAATCAAGAAGATTGATGTATATGATTAGGTCTCTTCGCCTTACAATTTGTATGGCAATTTGGCCCAGGGTTCTGGTGTGATAGAGGTGAACAGGGGATAATCCCACACAGGAGTTTCGAACAACATCTGGTTCACATTTGGCTGGATAACTCCACCACCACACGGGATATGCGGTCGGCGATGGGGTCAAAATGCTTGTATGATCGAGGGCTTTTCGATGGATCTATCGGCGGGTTCTTATTCGAAAAATTGAGCGAGTTCGTGGTGAAGCGCTTGATGATACTGAGTTCTTCTTAGTAAGTTTTGTAAGTGATCTTGTAATATCTGAGAAGTTTCATATAAATTACTAATAGAAGTTAGTAAATCTGATAAAGCTTTATATATCTTTTACAGTATGTGAAGCTTCTCATTCAAAAATGACAGAGACTTTCTTAGAATTTATTCAAATTCTCTTATTAACTTCTATGATAAAATCTAGATATTTAATACTCTTGACTTTGAAATCATACTTGTTAATATCTATTGATAGTTCTACTTCTTGTAATTATTATAATACTCTTTGCATGTATTCTTGATATTCTTTTCTGAACTTATCAGTGAAGATGAGAATGTCATTGAGATATACAGATACAAATTTATCAAGAAAATTTTGAAGTACTTAGTTGATATACTTCTGAAATGTACTGAGAGCATTAGCTAGTTCAAAGAGTGTAACTATTCATTTAAAGAGATTATAATATATTTGAAATGCTGTAAGTCTTCATCTTCTTTAATGATATAAATTTTATAAAATACAGTGATGATATCTAGTTTTATAAACTATTGAGCTTATCTGATACAAGCTAGAATTTCATTAATAAGAGATAAATAATAGCAGTTCTTCTTGATTAATCTGTTCAATTCTTTATAGTTTACACAGAATCAGAGTTCTTTATCTGATTTCTTTGCAAAGAGAATAGAAGCTGCAGTGAAAGAGTTACTAATATATATAAATTTCTTATTCAACAGATCATTGAGTGTCTTCTTCTGAAGAAGAAGTTTATCTTGAGACATATTATAAAGAGAGTCTTATGATGACTTAAGATTCTTATCATTCTTCATTTCTAACTTGATACTGTGATTCACTTCTGAGTCTTATAAGAGAAGTATATTTATAATATTATCTTATCAGAAGATATCTAGATATTTGTAATATTATTAAGAGAGTTTTGTATAAGAATCTGTTATTATAGTATGAGATAACTTCTCTAGAGCTTTCTTGATATTAGTCAGACTGATGAAATAGATTGTTATATAAATTCTACTATCAGTGATCTTTTCAATGACTTCTTTTTCAAAGTATTTTATAGATGTTGACAGAGATCTGTGTCAGATTCATAGTCTTATAAATATCATCTTTATAAACTCTATCATTGTTAGAAAATATTAAGCTTCTGTTTCAAGTGTTCAATAAGATATCTTATTCAGATAGTCAGATAAGTTCTAATATAAGATTATAATTAAGATTATCAACTTCATATATATAAACATCTTTATGTTGATATTCTCTGATATCTATATTTAACTTTATTATATAACAGATATAAATGTCTTTTAAGTTATCAAATTCTGTGAGAAGTCAGAGTTTTAATAAGAGAATACACTGAAGATTATAACATCTTACAACTGAAGATTTAATCATTGTATAATAACATAGACTGCTGTCTATCATGACTTTCATATTATACATATTATTGATCACAGTAGATACAAGAATTGTGTTCATTATCATTTTTTCTTTAAATTATTATTATTCAATCTCTTCAAGCTTCTGTCTGTAAATTTGAACAGAAGCTAATCTTTTCTCTGTTATATCAAGATATTCTCATAGTTATCTTCTGAATCTTTCTTCACTACAATGTAGTTGACATGAACAGGCACTGATTCATTCTTTGAGTGAGAAGATATGTAGACTGATTGACAGTTGAAAGCAATGTATTTTGATTGATTATAGTTAATGTACACTTCTTGCTAATATTGATCAGTGGCTTCTTCAGAAGTGATCTTAGAAACTCAGAAGCCTGTTTAAACAGCAGAGACTCTTGCTTATGTATAGATATTTAAGTCTACTCAGTTCATGACATCTGTATTATTGTTGTTATTTCTCAGTGCAGGTGTATAAGTGACTGAAGTGTAATATCTTCTATCACTGTTCTGTATACTCTTGAGCTTGATAAGACAGTCATTCAATGTCTGAAGTTGTATACAGAAACCTTCATAAGTCTGGTCTTTGTCTATAAGAGTTTGAAAGTTAATGTCTTCTTAAGTATACTAATATTCATTTAATTCTCTCAAGATTGACTATCTGCTTCTAGAATCTTGATATCAAAGTCAGGAATAAATGTTATAAGAGAAGTGTTTCTCTGTCAGACACTCTGTAATCAATCTAATGCTTTCTATCGCATAGCAGTGTCTCAGAACAGAATATCAAGATATTTGCAACACTGATTCACATGCTTTTATTCATGAATGAAACTTCTGTTTCACATGATTCTTCAATTGTTCATTGATATACTAATCTTGATTGATTAGTAAACTGATGACATCTCTATCTACACGTAGTTTCATAAGCATTTCCAGCCTTCATGGTGAGTAGAGAGTGAGATTGAAAGTATTAAAATATGTAAGAGCATCTAAGCATTTCTTCAGTACTTGTATTATACTCATATTTAATTCTGTTAATGTTGAAATTGCAGGGATTTCTTGTTAAGTTAATCATTGAATTTCCTTGTATTGATATTATTGATTCATGTGCATATTAGCTATTCATTATTATTATAATTTCAACATTACTCGGAGTCACTGTGATATTATATCTATACTTATATTTGAGAGTTCTCTCATATTATTATTAGACATGATTATATTATTCATTAGATGTGTGATATCTGTGAAATCTGAAGAAGTGTAATTATATAAATATCTTATACATCTAGAGTGTCAGAACTCTTGAGTCTTTTACTGATATTCTATTTATAAAGTCTTATTCTCTTTGTAAGATCTTGTTACAGAGTCAGAGTGACTGATGAGCAAGCTTCTATCTGAGAACTCAGTGTCTGCTTAACTGATTGATTATTTTTCTATTTCTTATATATTATTATGTGTTTGAATATCTTCTTGATAAGTAATTGTTTCTAATAAGAAGATAATGAATGTTTTTCAAGTATAAGAGATCTATACTGAATAGATCAGTATGATATTTATAGGTCTTATATAACAAAGTGAAAAATATTAGAGAAGAAAAGAAAGAGAAAGTGTGAGAATTGATGATTAAAGTGAATATTTATATATGTACACAGTGAAGCTTCAGGGCGGAAGAACAGGAATTTCATGAGTTTTTCAGCTGAGAATTAGCGACTGAGAATCGGAGCTTTCAGCGGAATCTATGAAGTGTAATGAAATAGTTTATATGATTGATCAGGCGTAGCCCGTCACATTAATAATTAATTATTTAATATAATTAAAGAGTCTGAATAGTTATTTTTGTAAGAAGCTTACACTGAATAGATTAGTATAACATTTATAGATCTTATAATATAAAAGTGAAAAATATTAGAGAAGAAAAAAAGAGAAAGTGTGAGAATTAATAATTGAAGTGAATATTTATATGTGTATATAGTGAAGCTTTAAGATGAAAGAATAGAAATTTCATATATATAATAAAGCTTTAGAGTGAAAGAATAGAAATTCTGTAAATTTTTTAACTAAGAATTAATGACTGAGAATCAGAGCTTTCAGTGAAATCTATGAAGTGTAATAAAATAGTCTATATAATTAATCAGACACAGCTTATCACATTAGTCTCTTCTTTTCAGAAGTGAGATTATGTATAATTCTTATTAGTTAAGAGTCACTGTTTTGAATAATATAAAGCTTAGAGTTCAGATCAGATAATTATAGTTAACTTATTTTATAAAATATTATCAGTTATAGCTGCAGAGTCTCTTATTAAGAATATCTTTAATCTTCTATTCAAGTTTATTATCTTCTTCTATAATCTCTGATAACTGTCAGTTGAAAGTCAGCTGAGAAGAGAATGAATTAGTGATAGTACAGCAGAGTAAGCTTGTATAAAAGATATTATAAATCTCTGATAATGTGTTAAAATAGTAGTTATAACTGTCTAGAACTTCTATCACTTTATACTTAGTATAACAGTAATTCAGTGTATAAGATGAGTATATAATCTGTATATTCTTAAGATTCAATTATATTAGATCTTCTATTTTATATTACTCAGCAGAGTCTCAGTGAATATTAATTCAGTTCTCTTAATTTTATTTAGTACTTATTATGAAGATCTCTGTCTAGTTATAGATATCTCAGAGCTTTATTACTATATTATCAGTGATCTGAATCAGACTGCAGAAGTTCAGTGTAAAATATATAATCTCTAGAAAATTCAACATCTTTATATAATAACTGTATATAAGAAAGAATGAGCTTATATCTGTTGAAACAGCATCTCAGTCATTGATGATGATCTCTGTATATAGAAGAAGACTATGTTAATTATCTTATAAGTAGTTACAGAACTTATAAAGATAATTCTTTATAATCTGAATTATTCATTCTGATATATCATCAGTCTCAAAGTGATAAGCAGTTAATAGATAAAATATAATCTTGAGAACTTGACAAATTCTTATTCAGAGAGTGCTTATGAATTGACAGCTCTGATCTGATACTATAGATCTCAGTAATTCATACATTTAATAGAATAAGCTCTGTAGAAAGACTTTAATAACTTATTCAGTATTTATCTTATTACAAGATTTCAACATTGTATCTTTACTCAGTCAGTTAACAATGATCAGAATATTTCTATAATTTATACTCTTAGAAAGATTGACAGCAAAGTTAATTACTACATCTTATCAGATTCTATCAGAAATATCAAGTGATTTTAACAGGCCTTTTCTATAATTCTTTTATAAAGTGATAGAGAAATATTAATTACAGTTTCAGACAAAGTGTTTGATGCTGTTTAATATCTTAGATCAGTAGAATTCTCAGAAAATTATTTAATACAGTTATTCACAATCTGAATAATCAGTTATATACAAATCATACATCTCTTGTATTATCCGGGTGTGTAGAGGTTCAGAATGAGAGACTCAGTGTTATTTATAAACTTACAGAGTGTTATTATCATTGATAAAGTATTCTGAAATGTCAGTTCTTATATGTAGTTCTAAAAGAAATAAGAGTACTTCTTAACATATCACTTCAGTGAGTACTTGAAGAAGTTTATCAGTTTGAGCTGTTATATATCACAATTCATTTAGTGTAGATTCAGACAAAGAAGATATTCTAATCAGAGAAGTATGTATAGTGTTATAAGTTATTCTATCATGATTA